AGCCTCGTGCAGGCCGCCGAGAAGAGAAACGCGGTTCCCCGTTCCGGGAAAACGGGGTGCGCTGGGCTTCAGGTGGTCTGCCGTGAACACGGTCCACGTAGGCTTAAAATTCTGCCACTGCTCAGAGTGGTCTTCAATCTTCCGTTTGCCAAGTAATAGGGGGAAAAAGTGAGCGTGGCTGCACGTGGAGTTCTGCAGGGCCTTCAGTTCACGCGCTGGGTGAGCCGGGTGGCTGTGAGTCGTCCGTGATACGAGGAGCGCGTGTGTTGTTCTTTTCTTGGTTGCTGGCAATGTTCTTGTGGAAAGCGTGCGCCAGTTGAGGTTGTCTCAGCCTCCCTGCTGGGCAGTGAAATATTAGGAGTGTTCTATCAGGGTTTCTAGAAGCCAAAAAAGAAAACACCCACTCGGTGTCACTTCATTATGGCAGCAGCACAAGCCAGGCTACCAGCTTCTAATAAGTGCTACTTTGGTGACTTCTGTTTGGAGATTTTTGGATGTCTTTTGGCTCGTTTGTGGCCTGTGTGCTGGTAGGTTGGTTCACTGTAATTGTATTTGTAGCAAATTAATATGTGAACTTGTGTCCAAATTTTCTAAACAGTCATTCAAGGACCATGGAATCGTAAGTGCGTGACGTTAAACGCTTCCGGTGGCGTGCGTTTGGCTGGTCGGTGCGCGGTGTCGGTGAAGTGCGTTGCCTGTTCCACACATGCACGTACTCCCTGCCGTTTCCCGGCTGTAAGCCCGTCCGTGGCGATGGTCGGTGATGGCGTGCGGTGAATCACGGCGAGTGTGACCCGGCTGTGCTGTGCCGCGGGGAGCGGTGCAAGGCAGCTGCGTCTTTGCTCAGGAGTTGTTCCCCGGCGCTGGAGCCCAGCGGTCTCGAGGGCCCTTGCTCGGAGGGGAGCTCCCGTGGAGCTGGATGAAGTGCTGTTGAGTCCCCTTCCATAAGTGATTCCCACACGCGGCACGCGCGTGTGGTGTGGGCGCCCGGTGCTTTCTCAGGGACACGAGTGAAGGCTCGGGGGGACCCTGCGTATGGGTGCCCACCCGCTGTCCCAGAGAGGAGACGTGGGTCCCCCGTTCCTGCGGGACGCGCCGTGGCATGGAGATCTGCCGGGCAGTGTCCCTGCTGGGGAGCTGAGCCAAAACTGCCACTCCTGGGCTCCCGGATGGGGAGGCCAGGGCAGCAGGGACCCACGGCGGGGGGACGTGGGCCTTGGTGAAGAAATTCATCTGCCTCCAAGCTGCCCCTCCTCCCC